ATTTCTTTCCCATGATATTTGATTTTACCAATGTTTTGTAAATAAAATAAAAATAATATAACTATTTATATCGATGTAAAATAATATATATATATATATATATCAATACCAATTTAAAATAATATATATATATATATACCAATTTAAAATAATAAATAGACCTAAAAGAATCTTATAAAATAATTATAGATCCATGTTAAATTAAATCTATTAATTATAAAATAACATTAAATAAACTTGTGGTATATTTTTCTGACATAGATTTGAAATATTCATATTAAAAAAAAAGTCAACTAGATGTAATTGTACAACTATTACCAATATTAAATATGTGAATTAAAAGAAAAAAATAAATTGGTTGTATGTTAAACTATTATTCAATTATTGCTTGAAAGGGAGTACCATAATGGTTGTAAAATGTATTTTTGTGAATACATGAATTAGTTACTTAATATTTTATCAGAACATGGAAATAAATTCAAATCTTTTTAATATTATAAACAATATAAAACAACATTTTTATCAAGTATATTATTACTATCAAACACGTAAAAAGAACGCATTGCATATAAATGTTCTCTAATTCTTTCAACAAATAAAATATTATTTGTAAATAAAAAAAAAACAAGTAAACCAATAGTAATGCAATGAGGAAAAGAAAATTTCTGAATTTTTTTAGAAAAGTATGAATACTAATATCAAGAAACAAAAATCTTTTAAAATTACTATTTTTTTGTTGCTAGCATTTAAGTATATGTTCTCTATAAAAAATTTGGTCTCATAAATAATAATTCGATATTATCATAAGATAGACCACAAACTTTAATAATGACTTCATAATAATAAAGTTAACAGATGACTAAGACTATCATAATATAGTATAATTCAAATTCTTCTCATCTGAAATATTTTGACAAATACTTCTCAATTTTGTTTCATTGTTTTGTTTTGTTTTGTTATTATTGAAGAATCAATAAAGGATCTTTATCTTGAATTTTTTAAGCATTAGTTATGATACAAAAGATTGGACAATAAATATTATTAGACACATATATATTGCAAATCCGAAAGAATATGCAAGGTATCTATCTTCCAAATTAATAACACTGAAAAGGGAATGTTTGATTCTGATCAAAATATTTTTGAATGTTGAATAAGTTGTCACTTTTTTATAAGAATATTTACAATCATAACTGTGTATTGTGCTCGATCATACGCGCAATTATTTTAGAGTACATATTTTTATGTAATGTGTGATGATTTAAAAAAGAAATAATTTAGCATCTTCAGAGAAGTAAATGATTTTAGAAAATTAAATTTTGTTTAGAGATGAAATTCGTTCTCACTTCATGGGGTAAGTACCAATTTATCTATGTGGAGAGAGAGAGAGAGAGAGAGAGAGATGTAGTAGTTTATACAGTGATTAAAAGAAATATCAAGAATTTTATGACACAAATATCAAGAAATTTAATGCTACAATTGTTTATTTCACAGAGATACTTATGAACTATTAGTAGAAATACCTTATAATGATCATACAATCATAAAGTTTGACTATATGTTTGGCTAAAGTATTTCTAAGTGTTGAATAAAACAGACGTTTTGCCAAATTAATTAAGAAGAATTTTACAATACTATTGATGTATTAAAATTCAACGAGTGTGAATATTTCTTATGAGAACATCAAAACCAAAATAAAAGAAAATGACTCTTGAATCTAACATAAATAAATAAAATAACTCATGCATCTATAATATACACTATGTTTTTATTTAGTCATTTATTGTTTTTTCATTAGGAACTCATTTTTCATTTTTTGTTGGAGTTGTAATATGATATTTAAATCTTTTTATATTAGGACAATATTTTTTTATTTAAAATAAAATGCATGAAAAGTTTATCTATTCTACATTTTATTTTATTCCTGCAATCATATATATATGTGTAATAAATTAATTAATTTATCTTACTAAATTTATTCGGTAAAAAACATTCGTCGTCACGTGCATCGCACGTGCACTTTACTAGTATATATATATGTATATATATATTTATTTATAAAATAACATGATACCTATTTGCTAGTGAAGAAGAATAAAAACATAAATGATAAATAAATGTAGCAATGAATGAAAAAAATATTAATTCAATCTAATTTTTTAAAAATAAGAGTGCAATAGATCATTTAACCTTGGAAAAAATTCATCTAATTTAACATCAAGCTAATCACCATATGTTCAAAAATCAAGAAGACACATGCTCTACTCTATGTTTTTTNAAAAAAAATCCTAAAAAATATGAATAGAAAGTAAACGAAAGCAGTGAATTTGGGCATCAATTTCTCTTACCTCCATGTGAATTCAAATCTATCCAAGCCTAATAAGGATCTCCAAGCATGCGAGTCTGCCACGTAGGCTCAACAAGTTCTCAATTAATATATAAGGGGATAGATAACCTGCACTAGGGCTCATTCATTCAGCAGACCACAAAATCTTTCTTTACGCCTATGAAAAAGCAGAAGCAGGCGGCAGAAAAAGCTGAGACGCTATCTACAGTCATGGACGACAGAATATCCCAACTGCCAATACCTATACTTCACCACATACTCTGTTCCCTCTCCCAAAAAGAAGCTGGCAGAACTTGTGTACTCTCCAAACAATGGCGCTACATAGGATTAACCCGCCCCATCCTCGATTTGTTTCAAGGTTGGTTCAATTACAAAACACAACGAAACTTTTTCTGCGTCTTCGAGTATTCCGAAAAATTGAAACAAAACTTTGTCTCGTTCGTCGATCGAACCCTACAAAGATACCTTGATCAAAACCTCTCCCTACACAAACTCCATCTCGACTTTTTGGACCCCGACTCACCACCAGTCGTCTCCCTTCTCGACAAATGGATCCCGATAATAGGCGCCCTCAACATAGAAGCCTTCAAACTCAACTTTCTTAAATATACTCCGCCATATTACAACCTACCATCGGCAGTCTTCTTTTCCGAGTCCCTCGAAGAACTACACCTGAACAAATGCAGGCTGAGCCCAGCCGAGAGCGTGCGGTTCCAAAATCTGCACACGCTCACCCTCGAACGGGTCCAAGTTGATGGCCGGACTTTTGAGACAAAAACGTTGGGATGCCCTTTGCTCAGGCGCCTGGTCATTAATGAGGGTTGGGAGTTGAGAAACATTTGGTTGAGTGAGGCGCCTGGGCTCAAGCACTTTGAGTTGTATGATTGCATCAATATGGAATGGGGTAGCATCAAAATCGATGTCCCGAATCTCGAGACGGTCCGCATCAGGGGCCCATGGATTTGGTCTCACCACGAAAGCGCATTCTTGTTTTCTAGTCTCACGAGTTTGCATCTCTGTGATATGATCCTGTCAAGCGAGTCAATCGACCTGTTATCGTTCGACTGCCCGTCTCTTGAGAGCTTGGCCCTAGATAATTGCTCCGGTTTCGAGGAATTCCATCTTGCAAGTGATTCGGTCAAGCAGCTGACCATCTCGACAACCAAAATATTGCTTAAAGGAGTTACGATTTGTGCCCCAAACATTCTCAATTTTATGATCATTTCCCCCCAGGTGCTGGATACATTCTCTTTCACGACCCCAACTTCCAAGGAGTGGGATTCAAATGTAATCCTCTACTTGTGGGAGGATGATCCCGATTTCAACGTCAATTCGTGGTTCCTTAAGCTGAGACGAATGCTCAAGCCACTAAGTGGGTCTCGGATTGATTTGATTCTGGAGATGGACATCCCATGTGGTGCTGTTGACGGCAGTGGTCTTCTCATTGACGAGCCGCCTGTTGTGGTGGAGAACTTTGAATTTAGAAATTATAAATATCGCACAGAATCTTGGTACTCGGACTTTACGAATGATTTGTTTCGTGTTTGTCGACCGAGGCACATATGGGGTCATAGGCTCTTGTGCGTGTCGGTGGTGGAGCAGAGGCTCTCAGAGTTTCAGTTCAACATGTTGCTTGCAAACATGAGCCTCGGGACATTTTGGCGGCACGATGTGGAGCAAGTGCACGTGAAAACCGTCAATGGGAAAATATGGCAGCTTGTGGAGTGGACGGACCTTTCAGAATTGCAAAACAGGGTGTGTCACGGGGTAATATGCGTTGAGTTGAAATGGAGAGGTCAGAATTGTGAAACAGGACGTATGGACGGACTTTTCCGGTTTTCTTTCACTCCAGTTGAAAGCCTACGCCTATTTGGTATGCTGTGATAGGGTTATGAAGTCAAGTCAGGATATGGTCAAGTGTTTGATATCAGAATAGGTTGCCAAAAGAGAAAAAAGAAATAAAATTTAATAATCAATCTAATAATAAAAACAAAAATGCTGCAATGTATTTTTTTTTGGCTTGAAATTAGATTTGGAAATACCAATCTTCTCTTCTTTCGGAAAATATGTCCCAATAGTTATAGTCGTCCACAACATGGGCGCCTCAATGAAATGCCAACTCAAATTTCTGTCGTTATTAACTGAGCCATATTACGTCGTTGTCGCTTAAACTGAGCCATGTTAAGTTTGCGTTGAAAGCTCGTATCCCCCAACTGGATGTGTTCTCTTTTGTGACGACTTACTTCCAACATCATGTTGGCACTGGGGTTTTACGAATGGCGCATCCTCTCGTGGTTTCACACAACCCCTTTAGGAAAATAGACTAAGTAACTAAATAATCTCTAGAATTGTAGATAGCCCTCAACGTTTGTTTCAGATTTACATTTTGCATGCTTGATGCTTGTTTTGTTCTTAATCTTGGACCTCCTTGAAGGGTCCTTGTTGAAATAGAAACTTTAAGTTATCCATATAATTGCTTGTTGAGATCAACTGCAAAATTTGGTGTTTGTTAGTGCATCCTTCTACTGTTTCCTTAAGTGTTAATTTGAGATGTGTTATTTATTATTATTCGGAGAGTATGGAGAAGTTATTGCGAATTTCTAAAGTTGGTGGCTTTCAGTGTGAATCTCAAATGTAAAGAAAAAAAGATCTTTGTAGTTGTGAATCACTTCTTTTTAAAATATCCACAAATTACCAATCTCATGTGAAAGCCTGCAAGTTGAGGTAATGCAGCTAATGGTAAAGGTTGACTTTACCTTAAAAATATGTAAAGGTTGAGTTTGTGGTGGATAATGTGGATTAGTACCTGCTTTTGACTTGGATTTTGTCTCTCCATCAACTTTTCCCCCTTCTTTTATCATTGTGTCCATCACTACAATCGTTTACGAGTGAATTTATCATTGTGTCCATCACTACAATCGTTTAGTTGTTGCAGTTTGATTTGAGTACAGTTTATGTGATCTTTGCCCACAGGCCCTGAGGAGCTCCACCCTCTGTATGTCTCTTGATGATATTTACATGTCAGCGATTCTTTTTTGTGCCTCATGTATTCTTTTTCATTATAATGGAATAAAAATCATATTTGACATGCCAGATACAGACTTGATGGATCAAAGATCATGAAGGTGATTGCTTCTTTTCCAGTTAAATGTTTTTTCTCGGGGAAAATTGCAAGTACTACCGTCACGGGTTCGGATAAAAAGCAAGAAAGTTCTAAATCAATACCCCATTTGCTAGAACTCATAAGAGAATGCATTTTCTTGATTTATATTCTTGTTTTGATAACAGGTCTTCTTGGACCCCAAGGGAAAAAATGACACCGAGAACAAGCTGGAGACATTTGCTGGGGTATACAGGAAGCTTACGGGGAAAGATGTCGTGTTTGAATTCCCAGTAAATGATGCATGAGAAACCAGATCCGTATCTTCTCGCTTTAGTTTTCAGTTTATTTAATTGAAAGACAATTTGGGGTATGAGATGAGTAAAGCTAAGCTATGTGAAGTTTTGATGAAGAGCCTCCTGGGGAAGAATTTTGGTTTTGCATAAAGTGTTGAACAAAAGTTTATTTGATGTTATCTCACTTTTTGCCATTGCATTGATTTCATTAGTTTTGTTGGCTTGCTGCTTGATGTCCTTGCACCTTATATGCTGTGTTTACTCTCTTGTAAATACCGAGTATGCACCATATGCTTTTAGAACCATAATAATTTTCGAGTTTACACTACGCTATATTGGTGTGATCATGACATTACATTGCAATCAATTGACTATGATAAGAGACACATGTCTTATTAACAATTTTAAGTTTCTTGACTGTTGAGCATGTCTTAATCTTCCACACCAAACATGATGATCTTTGTTGTTAGCTAATGTGAAGGAATGTTGTGTAGTAATTGAAGAAAAGGAAATAAATTTTCAAATGTTTAATCTTAGATTTGACTTGTGGAAAATTATTCTTCTATGCCTTTATATGAGGTAGTGCAGTTTCTTCCAAAAGTTTTTGCATGTTCTCAGTCATATGGACCTCTGATTACACGACCCAAACTTTATCTGGCATGCTTTGATAGATAATTAAATTATGGACTTTAAGGTGTCAATATTATAAAGCATGGTGATTAATCATACCTGAGTTCTTGCCCCGTTGTTGACTGACGACCAAACCCACCCCCACGGCTCCACCCTGTCCTTCATTAGCACTGCATGTTATCTCCCTCTCATCGGGCGGAGAACTTGGAATTTAGTACTTGGGATGTTGGTACTTGGGCTTTACGCATGAATTTTTCGTGTTTGTCGACCGAGGCACATAGGGGGGTGCTTGCCCGTGAGCGGATTGGACACAAGGCGCGTGCTCTCTTACTTTCAGTTCAACATCCTGTTTGTGAACAAGAACTTCGTGACCAAACCATGCTTTTGGCAGCACGATTTGGAGCAAGTGTTCGTGGAAACTCTTGAGGGGAAACAGTGGCAGATCGTGCAGTGGACGAATCTGGAGGAGTCGCGAAACCGAAAGCAAGAGGGGAAAATTCGCCTTAGATTGAAATGGAGATGTTAGAATGTATAAGGACTTGAGATCCCAATCTGCTGTTTTCCTTGGTTATAGCTCTCATTATAAAGGGTATAAGGTTCTTCTTAAAGGGGGGAAACCACGAGAGGATGCGCCATTCGTAAAACAGTTATGGACCATACCACAGAAGGTGTTCCATTTTCAAATGGTCTTCTTTATAGACAAGTCATTGGCAGCCTTCAGTATTTGATTGTTACCAGACCAGATATCACCTTTTCAGTCAACAAGTTAAGTCAGCTCATGCAATGACAAGAACGAAACAGAAGAGAAAGAATGATTTGTGACATCTAATCTGATGTCTTGCGGCTCGCCCTTCTCATATATATATAAATGTACAATTAGGTTTTACAATAGCTTGGTCCTTAAGAAACTAAGATAATAAGGGTACAATAGAAAATATCTAATGCTAAATACTAAATACATCAACACCCCCCCTCAAGTTGGAGCATGGGGATTCCGAATGCCCAACTTGCTAAGGAAAAAGTCGAACTCGCGCTTTCCAAGTGCCTTAGTAAAAAGATCAGCCAACTGTGAACGAGTGTGAACATAAGATGTCGAAACAAGGCCTTGAACAAGAGCATCGCGAACAAAATGACAATCCACCTCAATGTGTTTAGTCCGTTCATGAAAAACTGGATTAGCGGCAATATGCAATGCCGCCTGACTATCACAATAGAGACGCATGGGCTGCGAATGGGGCACACCAAGGCTGTGCAGCAAACCTTTTAACCACTTAAGCTCACAAATAACAGTAGCCATAGCCCGATACTCAGCCTCTGCAGAAGAACGTGCTACAGTGTGCTGTTTCTTGGTACGCCAAGAAATCGGAGACTGGCCCAACTGAACAAACCAACCACTAAGAGACCGACGAGTAAGAGGACATGCAGCCCAGTCAGAATCACACCACCCAGAGAGTTGAAGATCAGAGTCAGAGCGAAGCAGAATACCTTGCCCAGGGGAGCCCTTCAGGTATCGAACAACTCGCAACGCAGCCTCCCAATGTGATCGCCGAGGTTGATGCATAAACTGAGCAAGAACATGCACTGAGTAAGATAACTCGGGACGTGTAACAGCCAAATAAATTAAACGACCAACCAGGCGCCGATATGCTTCCGAGTCATCGAAGAAGGGGCTAGCATCGTCAAGAAGACGATGATTCTGTTCCAGCGGAAACTCCACCGGCTTAGCTCCCAATAAACCAACCTCGGAAATGATGTCCAAAGCATATTTTCGCTGGCACAAAAAAATGCCAGAAGTGTTGCGAGCTACCTCAATACCCAAAAAATATTTCAAGAAACCCAAATCCTTCATGTGAAAGCAGCGACTCAAGTAGCTCTTAAAGGCCCCAATGGACACAGGATCATTGCCAGAGACAAGAAGGTCATCAACATACACCAACACCTGCAGGTGGACAGACCCACGATGCAAGGTAAATAAAGAGTAATCAGAGTGTGACTGAGAGAAACCATACTGACGAAGAGAAGTAGCCAGCTTCGCAAACCAGCACCGAGGAGCCTGCTTTAATCCATAGAGAGAGCGACGCAAACGACATACACGTCCATCATCACCAGTCCGAAAGCCAGGAGGAAGCTTCATGTAGACCTCCTCATCCAAGTCACCATGAAGAAAGGCATTGTGGACATCCATTTGATGAACTTCCCACTTACGAGCGGAAGCAACAGCTAAGAAAGTCCGTACTGTCACCATTTTAGCAACAGGGGCAAAAGTCTCATGATAATCAATCCCTTCGACTTGATTGTTACCTAGAATCACCAGTCGCGCTTTATAGCGCTCAACAGCGCCGTCCGAACGATATTTAATCTTGTAAATCCATTTACAACCGATAGCACGTTTCCCAGGAGGAAGAGAAACCACCTCCCAAGTGCCATTATTCTCGAGAGCCTGGATTTCATTCTGCATGGCTCCTCGCCATCGACTATCAGTGGCTGCCTCAGCAAATGTACGAGGCTCGACAGCAGAAGAAAGAGCTGCCAAAAATGACTTGTGGACCGATGAGAAAGAATCACAACTAACATAATGTGCGATAGGATAAGGCGTACCTGAAGAAGGTGAGGAAGTAGGCAGAGCAGCAGAGGGACCAGGGGGACAGACAGTAGCAGTAACAAAATCACGGAGGCGGCTCGAGGGATAGCGGGTGCGATGACCACGACCCAACACATTGTCGGGATCAGCAGCAACCGAAGGACCCCCCCTGTCATCGGAAGGGCCGGAAGGGAGTGATGGATCAGTCACAGCCGCAGGTGGCACTACAATCGAATGATCGTCATCTGGATCCGACACAGGAGGCCAAGTCACAACAGGAGGGACCGAAGTGGGTAAAGAGGCCGGAGGAGACTCCTCATAGGGAAAGTCAGTCTCAACGAAGTCAATGTCACGAGAAACTAAAAAAATTTTTCGATCCAAATCATAGACCCGCCAGCCTTTCTGCCCAAGAGGATAGCCCACGAACACACCTTTATGACTGCGACTAGCAAATTTGTCGCCACGACGGTCCCGGTTATACACATAACACAAACACCCAAAGACACGTAACCGAGAATAATCAGGCAACTTTCCATAGAGCATCTCATACGGGGTTTTGTTACCCAAAACACGCGTGGGAGTTCGATTAATCAAATGAGCAGCAGTAAGAACACAATAGCCCCAAAATTTAAGAGGCAGATGGGCTTGAAATCGCAACGCACGAGCCACATTAAGAATATGTTGATGTTTCCGTTCAACACGGCCATTCTGCTGAGGGGTACCAACACAAGAGGTCTCATGCAAAATACCTTCACGATGAAAATAATCAGTCATACTCATAAACTCAGTGCCATTGTCACTGCGAACCACACGCACCAATGTGTCAAATTGACGCTTAACCATAGCAAAAAAATTCATTAAGACCGAAGACACTTCTGTTTTATCACCAAGTAGATAAATCCAAACACAACGAGAATAATCATCAACAACGGTCAAGAAATAACGAGATCCACAAAAGGTAGGAACCCGATAGGGCCCCCACAAGTCACAATGTACCAAATGAAAAATACCACTACTGACAGTATGACTAAGAGAAAAACTGTCCTTTGTCTGTTTGGCCCGAAAGCAAACATCACATGACTTATTCGAAACAGAAGACTGAGAATCAATAAAAGACAAATGTGACAAAACACGATCCGATGGATGTCCCAACCGTTGATGCCATAAATCAGAAGAAACTTTCACTACTCGAGAAGACGCAACTGATACTGTCCCCCGGAAAAAATAGAGTCCCCCTATCTGCTCACCCGCTCCAGTCACCATCTTCGAAGTGCAATCCTGAACGACACAGAACTTGTTAGTAAAATGTGCGGTACAGCCAGACTTATCCAACAACTGGAACAAAGATATCAAACTACACTGTAAGCTGGGTACAAATAAGACATCATGTAAAACAATAGAGGACCCCAAATAAACAGTGCCCAATTTACTGGCTGATGTCAAGGATCCATTGGGTAACTGAACAGGACGAGCAGGTATGTCACGAACATCACACAAAAATTCTAAGAAACCGGTCATATGGTGAGAAGCACCACAATCATACATCCAATCATATAAACTTCGCTTACCAGATGACGACTTACTGTCCTGTTTAGCAGAGTTAACCAAATGAACAAGCTGAGTCCACTGTTCATCAGTCAATCCACTGATAACACGATCGGAGGAGCTAAGTCCGGCATTTGAGGAGGTCCCAACTTGCATGGCGGTGGCGGCAACGTTTGCTTGGGCAGGAGCACCCCCGCCACGACCGCCGCGGCCGCGCCTACCACCTCTGCGGCCAGCACCACCACGGGGGTACCAGTCGGGATAACCGAGAACCTCAAAACAGCTGGCCGCGAGATGTCCGCTTTTCCCGCAGTTGTAACAGACACGCTGCCGACCTCCGCCGCTGTTTGGAACACCGCCGCTGCCAGGGTGATCGGGCTTTGAGCCAGACATCTGTGGTGAGAAGCCCGCCACATGAGAAGAGACGTGACCGTCACGCCCTCCACCTGTGTGTCCGTCACCAATCCGCATGTTATAGACAATATCCTGTCCGCGAGAAAGAGCGGATTGACCTGTGCGGATGGCAAAACCAGCAGCCGATTCTATGGTATCGTCGACGAGGGAGATGGTTCGCATCCTCTCTTCCTGGATGCAAGTAGAATAAACTCGATTTAATGTCGGGAGCGGTTCCTGGGCCAGTAAATTCGAACGAGTAGCGCCATAGAGGGTTGCGTCTAGTCCTTTTAGAAATTGATGAACTTTTTCACTTTCATATTTACGATCCCATTCGGCTTTCAAATTGCACTCACAAAGACCACAACGACACATGGGGGGTTTCTCATAATCAGCTAATTCTTCCCAAAGTTTGGTGATCTTACCGTAGTATGCTTCAATACTCAAACCCTTCTGCTTACAAGCCGCCAGATCCGATTTGAGTTGTTGAATGCGAGGACCGTTCTTCATTGTAAATCGTTCCTTCAAAGAGCACCATAAATCTGCCGCAAGTTCCGGCTCCACCACAGACGATCGGAGCGTGGCATCAATACTGTTCATAAGCCAGGACAGCAAGAGGGCATTGTTGGCTTGCCAATCTTCAAACAAATCGGAGTCAAGGGCTGGTCGCACGATCGAACCATCTAAAAATCCAAACTTCTTGCGCGCACGAAGAGCGGTGCGGATGCTACGGGACCATTCTTCATAATTGTTGTCTCCCTTTAATTGAACTTGAGTGATCAAAAGGCCCGGATTGTCGCTCGAAGTGATGTCGTATGGAGAGATCGTTTTTCTGAGAATAACAGCCGAGCCTGAGCCTGAGCCTTCACCGGACATGGCGATGTCAGTAGAGAGGAGAACTGACGAGAAGAAAAAAAATATATTATCCTGCTCTAGAACGAAAAAAAATATGAGCCTTCACCGGACATGGCCATGTCAGTAGAGAGGAGAACTAACGAAAAAAATATTGTCTCTGATACCATGACAAGAACGAAACAGAAGAGAAAGAATGATTTGTGACATCTAATCTGATGTCTTGCGGCTCGCCCTTCTCATATATATATAAATGTACAATTAGGTTTTACAATAGCTTGGTCCTTAAGAAACTAAGATAATAAGGGTACAATAGAAAATATCTAATGCTAAATACTAAATACATCAACATGCAATGTCCCTTAGACTCTCACTGGAAGGCAGTCAAACAATTGCTGAGATATCTTGCCGGCACAATTTAAGGGGTAAGAAATCAATGTGTAGTCCAAAATTTGGGTTCCAAATTTAAAAGTAGAAAAAGTAATTATTCATAATTTACGGGTCAATATTAATTTGGCATAAATAGAATATTTAATTATTTATAATTTAATAAAATACTCGACTAGTTAATTTTTTTGATTTGGATAGTTTATACAAAAATAATCTCATTTTAATTAATGGAACAATATAAATTTTATAACATACTTATTATTCACATAGATTTTTAAATATATGATGAAATTTTAATAAAGTAATTATTTTATGGAATACATTGTAGTTAAATCAAATATCTGAATAAATTTTTTAAAATGACATTTATTCTGAAACAAATATAATGTAATATATTATGACTTGTGTGCACATTACGAGTTGTGTACTAATTTTAAATTGACATGTGTTCTGTAATTTTACACAATTTAAGTTTCATAAAACATATTTAATAAATTAATATAGATAACTTTTATTGCATACTTATAATTATGTATTTTAAATTTATAAATATTATTTAATAACTAATTTGAATTTAATGAATACTTTTTATCTGAGAAGATTCTTAAAAAAAAAAAAGGAATGGAAAATCAAAAATCTGTATTCTGCGCAAAAAACACACGTAAAACAGAAAGCCGAAAGGGATGGAGTCTATTTAATTATTAATATTATTATAAAGAGTTACGTTTTTTTTATATTAAATAACCTGCACTAGGGCTCATTCATCCAGCAGACCACAAAATCTTTCTTTATGCCTATGAAAAAGAAGAAGCAGGCGGCAGAAACTGCGAATACTGTGTCTACAGTCATGGACGACAGAATATCCCAATTGCCAATACCTATACTTCACCACATACTCTGTTCCCTCTCCCAAAAAGAAGCTGTGAGAACTTGTGTACTCTCCAAACAATGGCGCTACATAGGATTAACCCGCCCCAACCTCGAGTTTTATCAAGGTTGGTTCAATTATTACAAAACGCAACGAAACCTTGTCTCCGAGTCTTCCGAAAAATTGTTCAACACTACACAACAAAACTTTGTCTCGGTATTAAACCGAATCCTACAAGGATACATTGATCAAAACCTCCCCATACACAAACTCCGTCTCCACATATGGAACCCCGGCGCACAACTTCTCATCTCCTTTCTCGACCAATGGATTGCAGATTGCAACATAAAAGTGTTCAAACTAAGCCTTTCTTTTACTTACGACCAGCCCTGGGCATTCTTCTTTTCCGAGTCCCTCGAAGAACTACACCTGCGCGAATGCAAGCTGAGCCCAGTCGAGAGTGTGCGGTTCAAAAGTCTGCGCACGCTCACCCTCGAACGGGTCCAAGTTGATTGTGGGACTTTCGAGACAAAAACCTTGGGATGCCCTTTGCTCACGCGTCTGGTCCTTAACAACTGTCGGGAGTTGAGAAACGTTAGGTTGAGCGAGGCGCCTGGGCTCAAGCACTTTGAATTGTTTGATTCCGAGAGGAGGGAAGGGGGTAGCATCGAAATCGATGTCCCGAATCTCGAGACGGTCCGCATCAGGGGCCCATGGATTTGGTCTGACCTCCAAAGCACATTCTTGTTCTCTCGTCTCACGAGTTTGCATCTCTGTAAAGTGTTCCTGTCGAGCGAGTCCATCGACCGGTTATCGTTCAACTACCCGATTCTTGAGAGCTTGGCCCTAGATAATTGCTCCGGTTTCGAGGAATTCCATCTTGCTAGTGATTCGGTCAAGCGGTTGACCATCTCGAATAGAGAAATAGTGCTTAAAGGAGTTACCATTTGTGCCCCCAACATTCTCAATTTTATGATCATCGCCCCCAAGGTGCTGGACACATTCTCTTTCACGACCACTACTTCCAAGGAGTGGGATTCAAATGTAATCCTCTATTTGAGGGAGGATGATCCCGATTTCAACGTCAATTCGTGGTTCCTTAAGCTGAGACGAATGCTCAAGTCACTAAGTGGGTCTCGGATTGATCTGCTTCTGCAGATGCACCGCGGCTATCGTCTGGACGTGCGATGTGGTCCTGTTGACGGCAGTCGTCTTCTCAATGACGAGCCGCCTGTGGTGATGGAGAACTTTGAATTTAGAAATTATGAAGATCGCACAGAATCTTGGTACTGGGACTTTACGAATGATTTGTTTCGTGTTTGTCGACCGAGGCACGTATGGGGTCATAGGCACCTTTTGGTATCTTGGTACCAGAAGCTCTCAGAGTTTCAGTTCAATATCTTGCTTGCAAACATGAGCCTCGGGACCTTTTGGCGGCATGATGTGGAGCAAGTGCACGTGAAAACCATCAATGGGAAAAAATGGCAGCTCGTGGAGTGGACGGACCTTTCAGAATTGCAAAACAGGATGTGTGACGGGGCGATATGCGTTAAGTTGAAATGGAGAGGTCAGAATTGCGAAACAGGACGTATGGAAGGACTTTTCCGGTTTTCTTTTATTCCAGTTGAAAGCCTAGGCTTATTTGGTATGCCCATGATTAAGAAGATATAAACAATAACTTACATATAAATCTAGGGTAGATTTCTGTACGAAGCAATACTGATGCAGAAAGTGAGATAATGAATCAGCACCTTTGTTGAACAATGTGCTTTTGATATTTTGATGGTGGGATCTTTATATTTGACTTTATGGTCGTGATGCCCACTGTTCTCTACCCAATGATTCTATCTCAATATATATGGCAAAATGATTTTGTTCTCAAAAAAATGAGTAGATGTGAAGCATCCTTGTGTCCATTTGCATGGTCCAGATTCAATAACTGAAAAGTAATAAAATATACTACATTGCTGTCGAAAAGCGAGCGTAAACGACAGAAAAAAGAATTGTGTAGAGGAAAAATAGGCCCAACAATCCCAAATATATTGCATCCTTTGTCTCGGAAGTTAGTCCAGACTTCCAATCACAGGTAAAATAGAATTACTTTCAGTTTACCATATTTTCGTGACTTTGAGCTTTCGCATATGATCACGGGACGACTAAGCTAGGTAATGTTTTCTCATGCTCAACATGTTCCATAATCAGCAAAAGAACTGGCAAGCCTTTAATCAATTCAATAAAAGAAGGAACTATTTTCTACGTTGTACATTTTCTGAACGACCGAAATCTTGAGCAAAACACCAATCGTTTTGGTTACTTGGTTACTTAGCTACTATTTCCCTCGTCCTATTTCTCTAATTCTCAATCGTTTTGGTTACTCGGTTAAGTTAATAATGCGCTCTTAAGTCAATTGCTCTCAAGTCTATTTAGTTTACTGAGTTAAAATCTCAAATCAACTAACTGGATTAGAATTAATAGGTCTAATTTCTCTTTTTAATTTGTGCATTTGCGACTAATTAGTCAATTGAACTACAAACCATCCTCCTTCGAGAAGACGGTCGGGATTGTATTTTCGTCCATACTCGGTAAAACAAATATATGCATAACACTTTTGCAACAGAATATATCCATTAGTCAATTAATGGATCTCTGTTTTTGCAGATGGACAGCATCCCTGAGGACGTGCCCTGGAGTGCTCTTCGTAGTGGCGAGCTGCCTGTGGTGGAGCCGCCTGTGGTGATGCCGGACTTGTATTTTGCTACTTGTAAATGTCGCACGGTGTCTTGGTACATGGGATTTACGAATGGCTTGTTTCGTGTTTGTCAACCGAGTTACGTATGGGGTGGTAGCATCGTGAGCGAGCCCGGCAGAAAATACAGGCTCACGGAGTTTCAGTGGAACATCTATCTTGGAAACAGCAAAGTGAGGACCCAGCCCTACTTTTTACGGCGCAATTTGGAGCAAGTGTTTGTGGAAGCTCTCGAAGAGCAACAATGGCAGCTCATGCAGTGGACCAAGGTGAGGGAGTTGCGAGAATGGGCGCAAGACGGGAAAGTTGGCCTTAGATTGAAATGGAGATGTCAGAATGTATAAGGGCTTCACCAAGGCCTTGGTCTTGATATCATTGCTTTAAAACTTTCCAGGTCTTGAGGACTTGAATTCGTAATTTGAGCTTTTTTTTTTTTTTATGGTTTTTTGTTGGTTTTTTATTTTCATTTTATTTTTTCAAATTAGTACCCAATGTTAACATATATATGCCACATTCAGTATCCATAGTATACATTGAGAATTAAATGTTGTTTTGATTTTATTAATTTTAATAATTAATATTCTAAGTTGATTTATTATTTTAAATTATTTGTCGTTTTACATTTTTATTCCAACTATGTTGTACAGTAAAGANATCTTCAAGTATTAGAGATAGATAAACGAATTAAAAAATATGAAAAGAAGTGTAGTAATTATTAGCCATGGATCCGGATTTGAAGCGGGCAGTGGTGCAGGACTTGGACCGGTTTGTAAGGCGAGGAAGGATAACTACTGGAGTGTGGGGAAGGCGTGGATGAGGGGTTACCTGCTGCAGGGGCCACTGGGCACCGGAAAGTCGAGCCTACTGGCGGAAATTGCCAACTACCTCAAGTTCGCTGTGTTACCTACCTCGCGAGTTTGTACATCAACTCGGTGCTAATTAAGAGGCAGCTACTGAGCACGAATAACCGGTTGATGATAGTTATTGAGGATGTTGATTGCAGCACACAGATGCATGATAGGGAAGGAGACTCGGACGACGACTACTACTACAACAAAGAGCCGCGCCACAGGGTTACTTTCCTTTTCTTGCCAAACTAGTTCATTTTAGTTAAAAGCTAACAGAAATTCAATTGAAACATGCCAAACTTTGCATCATCTTTTTGTTTGGAAACAATTGACCTTATTGGGCATGCTGAACTTTATAGATGGGCTATGGTCCAGCTGCGGAGACGAGAGGATAATTATTTTCACCACCAACTACAAAGAAAAGCTCGATCCAGCGTTTTTTGAAAATTTTTTGCTTTTGTTCAAAGTTCAGGTTACTTTTGTTCCAAGTTCAGGTTATCATTTGTGCTTTTGTTCAAAGTTTGGAATTGGTTTTTGCTTTTGTTCAAAGTTCAGGCTACCATTTGTGCATTTGATTTTATGGTTATGGAGATGAACTCAAAGTTCAGGTTACTTTTGATCCAATTTCTGGTTATGACTTCAGGTTATGGTTTGATTTTATAGGTTCTGCTTATGGCCAAGTACACCTCTTATTGTTTATAATGTTCTTGTTATGGAGATGAACTTAAATTGTTCTTATTGAGATAAACAAAACTAACAACATTAACAAGACCAACAATTCCATTACAACAGGTACAAAAGTTTGACACACAGTGTGTTCATTCATTCATCAAACAACACAAAGTGTTCACAACACAAAGTGTTCACAGAACAACACAAAAAGAAGAGAAAAAAACTACACATAACAACACAAAATGAAGAAAAAACATACAACCTTGTTGCACAGCACATAACAACAATAAAAAACGACACTTCACCACATGACAACAATCAAAATAATGAAGAGAAACCATGTTGCAGCAACAAACACAACAAGCTTCCAGATTTTTTGACGAATTTTGAAAAATTCTTCATAGATGTCCTCCACATGCTGAAGTTGGAGTTCAA